TGAAATTTCAGTATTTTACTGAAATTTCAGTATTTCCTCGTCCCAAGACCCAAGACTCAAGATTTTCAGAAAAAAGTTTTCCCTGACATCTTGAGTCTTGCGTCTTGGGACCCGGAAATACTGAAATTTCAGTATTTTACTGAAATTTCCGTATTGTTTGCTATACCAATAAGCATTATTATATATGTATATATGGTAGCATATACGAATATATGCGATATAAGACCAATATAGAAACATTGGTTTTAGAGGGAGGAGTACTATACATAGAAATAAATCCACATGTTTATTGTATAGACAAATACAAACCTTATGGAAACATGTAAAAGGCAGGCTTTGAGGGGACCTTATGGAAACATGTAGAAGGTAGGTTTTCCGGGGACCTTATGGAAACATGTTAAAGGTAGGTTTTGGGGGGGGTACCATATATATATATATATAGATAGTCTGCAAAGCTGAAGAAATTTGCTGGGCCACTGGCAGTACGTGTCCAGCCATTCAAGGCAAGCAGCTGCGCGGCTCCCTGAACTGATCCTCTGCTTCCGGCCATTTCCCGCCATTTCCCGCCGTTCCCGCAGCCCTGCACAGCTTGCTGGGCCTTGCCCAACGTTCTCGATCTCGCGGTCCTCGAGCAGAACCTCAAAATCTGCCAGAATGAAACTGAGCCTAGTACAGGGAAGCAGCTAAGGGCCGGGGCCACGCAGGAGCCGTGCACCAGAACAAAAACAAAGTCGGCGTCGGGCTCCTGCTAGGCTGCAGCACGCTGGCAGCACGCTGGCAGCACGCTGGCGCAGGACAGGCTCACAGACTCACATGTTCACACGCTCACAGTTTCGCATCACGCGCATGTTCACCTCGTCTGCGACAATTGTTTCGCCCGGCAGAAGCCAGCGAGGCTCCCAAGCCCTCCGAAGCAAAGGAAGCTAGGCCAGCTAGGCTACGAATTTATGAGTACATTTACAAGTTGACTTCTTACCAGTCACCTCACCAGTTGATCTAAGAGCCGCGGAGGGGCGTCATGTACCAAGTCCTCAGCTTTGGGATCTTCACAAAATCAAAAACTAGAAGTGGAGAGAGTACTCGGTGTTACACTCGGCACCGCACCCAAATCACAGAGTAGCTCTTCAGGGCGCTCATCAGCACGTGCTCGAAGGCATCCGCCGCGGGAACGTGCCTCGGCTTTTGGGGTGCACTGGTAGCGTCGAAAAGGCGACGTTTCCCTAAAACCTTTGAGGCGCCTGTAGCGGCCGGTACCCGAAGACCAGGCCTCATGGGCTTGCTGAGCTCGAAAAGACGCACACCGAAGGGAGAGAGGCCGGTGCCCCGAAGGTTCCAGCTGCAGCCTCTGCCTGGTTGTGCCGATCCTGTCAGAGGCAGCGGTTCACAGCCGAAAAGCTCTGCAGATTTAGCAATTCTTGTCCCCTGCAAGTTCAAAAAGGCCTTGTGTGCCGGCGGTCCAGTGATCTCGGAGGCTGCCAGGTGTAATCAAATAGCTTCAGTTGATCGTGTCGTGTCGTATTGGTGTCTCGGGCCATGGCAGGCCCCAAATGCGACGGCCGGTCCTTGACCTGTCACCAGACGTTGGTCCGATGGCTTTTCAAGTTTTTCCTTCTTGCAGCGTTTGCAACACCTTGTCCGGGCCTCCTTCTTGGTGGATGGAAGGGCCTTCAGCACATCAAGCCGGTCGTGGATCCTCGGGGTGCGGTGCCATGGTCATGACCTGCCTGGCAGCCTTTGGACCTGGGGCCATCGCGTCAGGCCATGTGGAAGGAATAGCGCCTTCTCTTCACCTCCGCAAGACTCCGCATTTCTCTCTCCAATGTCTGTCAGTCTCATGAGGGCGCGCAGTTCTCCAGCGCTTGAAGCAGGACAGATCGGTGTAGAATCGCCACCAGTACCTTGCATCAGGAGGCCAAACCAATGGCCGATTTGCAGAGGCTTTAGGGCCGCGGCAGGACCCTTGGCGCGGACCACGCCCGAAAGGACGATCGGAACACCCAAGAGTGCAAGGCGGCCAATCTGATCAGGACAGCAGAAATCAGTACAGGCGACCCACACACGACCTACCTGTGCTTGAGCCTGCATGCCGGGCCCTAGCACAGCCTGTGGCTCTGGAGGTGGCTCCTCTTGTGGAGGGTTCAAGAAGAACCGCACCTTAGCCACGCAGCGCTGCTGTAGCCATTCGCCGATTTCGCCCGTAGACACGATCGCCTCCTCGGCGATCTCTAAGCCATGAGGGCTTAGTAGCTTCGCCTGCAAATAAGAAGCTCGGATCTCTGCTTTCGGATCTTTCAAACAAGCCTTCTCCAAGACATCGAAGACGACGAGGCAGTCAGGATCCCCCCAGAGCCAGCGCCAGTCTGTGGTCTTCCTCAGTGCGGTGTATACGGTGAAGACAGTGAAGGTGACACTGACTGTGAAACAGAGAGCGGAGCATGCCGCTGAGGTCCAGTTTGCCATCCTTCAAAGATTTTCCCTCAAAGCTTTGCCAGAATTTGCTAGGCTTTGCTGAGCCTCAGCAGCCTTGCGCAGGTGCGCCTCTCGCAGAAAAGGATTCAATTTCCAAAAACCTCTGAATGGCATGGCAGTGGCGCGCCATGGCGCGCTTGATGTTCTGCGGTAGGACCAGCGACACCATGATCACCTCTGAAAGCTGCAGGCTTCCACGGTCTTCCCGCTCACGGCTGAGGTGCAGCCGTTCAGCCTCCTGCTCAGCCGTGCGGTCCGGCTGCTCCAAGAGATATCTCCTGACCTTCTCCTGCAGTAAGCAAGATACATGCTGCTACATGCATGTACAACCCTCCCCCTCCCCCAAATGGTCTTCTGCTAGCATAAATTCCCGCAGTGGCCAGTACTCTTGCGTGGTGGATGTTCTTTCTCCCATGAAGGTCGGATCATTCAGATCTTGCCCCGTCCTTTTTGTGGCATAGTGGACGTTTCTGACGGTTACCTCTTCAAGGTGGAGGTGGAGCAGAATCGCACTTGGTTGCAATGGCCTGTACATGCCAAATGGCTGCGGGCCAATGGTGCTGGCTCTGCATGCAGACCTTCTCGCTCCCCCGTGTTGCGGAGTGCGGATGGTGGTCTTCCTTCAATAACTGTCATCATTCTGTGTTGTTGAAGTCGATAATGGCAATTGACTCCTATGCTGCAGCAACAAGCTGTCCTCTTGGTGGAAGCAGCACTGAAAAGATATTGTCTGCAACATTTGAGCTTTATTTAGGTTGGCCAGATGGGTGGTTCTCTCTTCCCCAGTGGGCGGTGGGGACAAGCACAATCTATGCCTGTGACTGCCTTCTTCTGCAACATCACAAACAATGACAGTTGCATGGCTCGTGACCAGGACACTCACCATCCTTGTGACTGCTGGCGTTTTGATATTTACAACATCAAAAACGATGACATTTGCAAGGATCGTGAGCTGGACACCCACCATCCTTGTGACTGTTGACACTTTTGAGAGGCCTGAGCTGGGGGTCAGGGCACCATACTATGCGGTGTGGCGTAAGGGGGGTTGGGCTCGGGGAACCAAGATCACGTATTGCAGACGGTGCAAGAGGTGCAACTTGTTGTCTGGTCGTGTCCTGGTCCGAGTCCAGGTCTGGCAAGTCTGCCTTGGGCGACTGCTTGGCCACCATTGGCGCTGGCGGGTCCTCGCCTCCCAAAGCTCTTTGCAACTTCATGTACCGCGTAGCTCATGCCTACATGACTGGGTGATGCCAACAGCTTTGCTTGCATTTTGCTCAACGTGTTTTCGGCAACTTCATGGCGCCCGGCCGCAGCGCAGGTCACGACCGTCGCCTGGCTGCTTTGGGGGCTAATTAGTCACACGAACGCCTTTGCGTGAACACACCCTGCAGCAATGAAACACCCGTGCAAGTACACGCTATGAACGAGCAATTCCCACTCAAAGGTTGGCACCATCAGTTGCATTTGGCATTTCTATCATGTCAGAAGGGCCCTTTGTCAAGAACTTCTCAACTTGAACTTCTTGGTCTCTACAATAAGCCGATATTTGCGGGTCCCTTCTTTTATTCCAAGCATTGTAAGAAACGGACCCCTGCCTAACCAGCCCACGGTGTCAGCTTCCCAGGCACGGTGCAGGCAGTTGCCTTGGACATGCACAGAGAGAGAGAGAGAGAGAGACAGAGGTATTGATTTTTTTCATTTCGCGAAGTTCAACTCCATGCAGAAAACGGTTTTCAAGTGCCTGCACAGCCATCCGGAACCAGTGCCTCGACCTGCTTCCAGAAGACATGGTCAGGTTTTTGCTAGAACTGCGTCGAGACGAACGGTTTCAGCTTTCAGCTACGGACCTCACCGCGCAAGATCAAAATGGCGGAGTCACCCTTAACCCCTGGCTTCAGGATGGTCTGCCCATCGAAGTAATACCTCTGCAGCCCTGCACTCCATGCCATGTTTCAACTGAAGAGTACCAAAGCAGGTCACCTCTCCTCAATGCCTTCCGGCAGCGGCCCAGACACAGAAGTCCCAAGGGCGTTGTCCACCATGAACACTGACTGCGATCAGTTTACAGACAGTAGTGACAAATATGAGGGCATCAAGCTGCCTGTCCCTGCAGCTGAAGGAAATCTAGAGGTGTATCTGGCCCGTCTACCGGCCCGGGATTCCAGGTCAGCAAGTTCCGAGCTTCCTGGCGAGCGGTGATCATTCATCAGGCCCCAGATGCCTAGGTCCCCCGGTCCATCCTTGTGATTCAAGGAATCAATGCGGTCCAAAGACAACTCGTTGAAGTAGGCCACCTAGGCGGCAGAAAGCAACAAGGAAAGGCCACAGTCGGATGTTTCTTTGCCTCGTTCGTCCACCGTAGCCGCATGACTGGTTCGTCTTCTGGATCCTACTAGCAACCATGGTCTGACCAGCAAGGTTAATCCGCAGACATTTTCCATTCCCGCGAATCCAGCCTCTGGTTGTTCTGCCTCTTCATCTAGGACCTTCTCTTGGAGCCTTGGCGCGAGTTGTGACATGACGGCAACAGTAGGTGTTGATGGCCGCTGAGCGCCATGCAACTCGGTGAGCGCTTGCCTCCCCACGAATCGCACGCGGGCGCCCTCAGGCCCGGCGCGTAGCGCACACGTGCGCTGCTCTGAGCCCACGCCAAGGAACTCGGTGATCCCCTGAAAAAACTTCGATCAAAACAAAGTCTTCCGACACAGCGCAGTTTGCCCCCACCTCGCAGTCGCCCCTCTTCAAGGTGCGCACGACGCAAAGACCGCCCTGGAATGCTTTGCAAGAGAGGGTCAGCTACCGCAGGACGCAGCGGGCCTGCGGAGCGTCACCCACCAGCTTCTCAACTGTCCCTTTGATAATGACAACCTTCAAGCACAGCAGGCAGCCTAGTCTGAGCTGCTCCATCGTCTGCAGAAAAAGAATTCACCTAGAAAACTCGGAGATTCGAAAATCCAAAAGGTATGAAGCCAGCTGTTATGGCCCGTCCCCCGTTTTTCGGGAGGAGTTTGCACACGAAACTGGACCGGTACCAGGACATGAAGTGACGGCGCGAAGCAGAGTAAGCTCAGAGAGCGGTTTCTTAGGGGTGGGCCTTTGCTCTCTCTCCTGCACATGTTTGTTCCGCTCCCTCTTCCATCTGCACACCACATCCAAAGTCCACAAGCTTAGATGCGCGGGGATGAGGACGCACAAAGTCCAGATGGAGGAAGCCCGGATCGCAAAAGGAAGGAAACTCAAAAAAAAAAAAACACGCAGAGGAACTCCCCTGGAGCCACTTTTGAAGCAGCAAGCTTACGTATGCAATCAAAACCTTGGAAAGGACAGCAACAGCAACAAAAGTGCAACACCACCAAGCAGCCCCGCCCACCGATCGTAAACGGGCCGTGTACGGTCGTAAACGGGCCGTTTGCGCATAAAACGCCCGTTGACGGGCCGTATACGTTAACATGGCAAGTCATGGGTGACCCATGGTGACCGCGCATCCACAATAACCACCAGCTTTTGCCACCCTAGCCTCCCCTCCTCTCTTTTCCCTTACCCTATTTTGCGACCGAAGCAGGTGAGCTTGTCAGCCACAAGCGACCCCCCTCCGCGCGCGTGCGCACAAGCTTATTTGGGGCCCTATTGTAGCAGGGCAGCAGGACTTATATTCCACTTCCTCCCCACGTGTGCACTATTGTAGCAGGACCTAAGCCTGTATTCCACTTCCCATGCGCCGCGCGCACACACAAATTCTTTAGCAAATTGTGGGCCCCCACGCAATATCCTAGAATGGCCTAGCCTATATTCCACTTGCCCGCACGCGCGCAGTTTTTAAGGTCTATTTTAGGGCTCTTATGAGCTTTTATGCATTATTTGGAGAAGGACCAATATTCCACTCCCCCCCCGCGTGTGCGCGCACACACGATTGTTACAGCTAATGTTGGGCCCTAATGAATGCATTCTATATTGCAAAAAGACCTATATTTCACGTCAGCGCGCACGCGCACGCAATTTTTTGGACTTATCTTGGGGCCCGTCGCAGCCGTGGGCCGCGACCTGCCGTAGCTGTAGCCAGCTGCCCAAAACAGCTGCGCATGCAAGCTAATCGAATTTCAGCATGCGTTAGCATACTTCAGGACGCGCCTCACACGCGAGCATAACCTTCTACATGTGGCAAGCAGGGTTGCATCATCGCCAAGTTGAATTATAATGCATTTTGCGTAAGGGGATACGTCAAACAAATGGGCCCATGGATTTATACATCAAATTATACGTCAAGTGATACGCCAAGTGATACGCCAAGTGATACGCCAAATGATACGTAGGGGCCGTCTATAATCGTATAGAACATACCCACACATGGCTTTCAAATCATGATAATTTAAAACTCAAGAAGAAACGAACTTGTATTGTGGTGCACAGCCGCCCTCATCTTCAATGGCACGCCAAGAGATTTTTGTGAAAATGAAGACCCATCCTTCTGATGGACCTCCAGCTACAGTCAGACCTGTGAAACGGAGATCCAGGCTGAGGAAGTTTCGTCTGATCACTTGCCAGTGCGAGCCCAGACGTCAATTGGCATGGACGATACTCGAAGCTTCTTTCCCAGAGCCTACACCGTGTCGGAACTGAATCCACAGGGCGGGAGGGTGGGAGACAAACAGCTGCACATTAAACGGCGTGCTCGTGGGGCTAGTCCACAACATGCTCAAATTGCATGCAGCATGCACGCCTGCTGATTTCACATGTTACCATGTGGTGCACAGGCGCCATCATTGTCAATGGCACGCCAGGAGATGTTTGTGAGAATGAACACCATCCCCTTTGATGGACCTCCCAGCTATAGTCAGACCTGTGAAACGGAGATCCAGGCTGAGGAAATTCCGTTTGATCGCCTTTTTCACATTTCCATCCAGGCTTCAGCCGACCTTTAACAGTGCACCAGCCGCATGCGCTAAAGTTGTCTGATCATCAGAAAGCTTCAGGTGGGCCACAATCGCGATTGCATTTTGCAAGTGTGCATGTCCTCAAGATGTAGAACTCCATCGACCTCGCAAGAGAGGTCGCTCCATGCTCTGGTGGGAGAGGAAGGAGTAAACATCGAGGCGATCATTATCCAAAGAGAAAGAACCAAGCAAGTGCTTGAAGCGTTTACGAAAGTGATCAGGACCATGGCCCAAAAGCAGCTCAGAAGATCTGCGTCTATTACAAGTTCTAAACATTTTGATCTCTAG